ATGGGATGGGGATGGGGATGGGGATGGGATTGGATGGGGATGGGGATGGGGATGGGGATGGGGATGGGACTGGATGGGGATGGGGATGAAGCCAGGTAGAGAAGACCCCAAGTGCCCAAGCTCAAGCTGGAACAGTTTTTGGAAAAAAGCAACACCCACAGCAGAAGCTTTCCCCCAGCTGGCACACCTAATCCCAGATCTAGTTGCCCATCCCTGAGTGGGAACAGACTGAGGTTGAGCCCAATTCAGTGGGAAATAATTACTTCCCCTCGGGCTGCCATTGTTCTGCCCAGGGCTGTTCCTGCCCGGCTGTCCCAGCCCACACCGCACGCCTGGCTCGGGGTTACGCAGTGGAAACCCATCCGGTGCCGTCCCCTCCTTTCCACCACGCTTCCTTCCTGCCCTGGCTTCCCAAAACAAAGGCGAGATGCTGATGTGGTGGCTCCTGGGGTTCCCTGGATGCCAGCCCAGAGCCTGACTCCCTCAGCCCACATTTCCTGCCCTGGCATGGGCAGCCAGGGTGGGCTGGGACCGAACTGCTGCTCCTCGTGGAGGGAAATCACGGGGCTGTGACCAGGGATTCACCCCTGCAACGCCCACCATGGACAGTCAACCCCTATGGAAAATGTTCCCTGCATCAAATGATCTCAGGGATGAGGGGTGAGAACCCCCAGGCCATGAAATGTTGGTCCTCCTACACCTCTGCCACCACAAGGACTCGTTCCCTGCTCCACACTGGGACGGTGCTGGTGTGTCCCCCCTGTCAGGGACATCCCAATGTCCCCACTGCTGTCACCAAACACCCCAGTGCCCTTCCTGAGCAGCACCTCGGGGTGCTGGCACCCGAAGGGGGCAGCTCTGGAGCCGGGAGCAGATGGGATCAGCAGGGGCAGCTCAGGTTTCCCTGCCCTGCTGCCGGGTCAATGATTAACGCTGCAGATCGGCTAATCGGAGAGATAAAACAAAAGGCCTGCTGGCTTTTTCCTGGCATTTGGGGTCTGGAAGCCTGGGGCAGCCCGGGGGATGCAGGGCTGGTTGTAGGGTGTTGTTCAAAGCTGTGCTTTGGGATAGGGATGAAATAATCTGGTTTAAGTGCGTATTTGCTGCCCAAAAAGAGCCCTGGCCTTGCTGGCTCAGGTGAGGGATCGGGAAACAGTTTTGGCTCTCCAGGAGGAGCAGGGTTGTGAGAGACCCTGGGGATGCTGAGGGGTACCCTCGTGTCTCTGCTGCTGCCCGGTTTGGGAGAGGTGTCCCCGTGGGAGGTGGGTGCCATTCCCGGGCTGTGCTTGGCTCATTAAGCCTCCAAGCTGCATTTGTGTAATCTCTTGGAACTTTGCTGCTAATTAGACCCCTCCTGGCAGTGCCGGCCTGGCCCCAGCCCAGTGAGGCACAGGGACCCCCATATCCCTGAGGTGGGGTGACACTGGGGGACAGCGGCTCGGGCAGGGCTCCCGGCCGCTGTGAACGCACGGGGATGTGCTGGAGAGCCCAGCCCAGCCCAGTTTGATGTGATTACGATGGCTGGCAGCCGTCTGGGCTGTAAACAAGTCCCTGTAATTAGCCCCAGACGGTGACAGAGGTACGCGCCTCCCATGCTAAAGAGCCAGGCAGCCCCAACAGGTCTGGCTCCTCTGCTCCCCGGCCCTGTCCCCTCTTCCTTCCTGCCCTCCCTGGCTGTCCCCGGGCACTCCCTGGCTGCCCTGCCCTGCTGGGCTGCCAAGGGATACAGGGATGCTCCCAGTCTGCCCCAAACCGGGCGCCAGGGGAGGTGGCACCGTGCTGGCACTTTGGGGGAGCAGCCAGCAAGTCCCCGAGAAGGGACGTGTGACAGACCAGTCGGGCAGGCTGGGTGGCACTGGCTGTCATTTGCCTTGGCTGGAAATCCTCTTGTCCTGCCTGTGGGTGCTCCTCCGGACGCGTTTGCCCAAGCTCCTCTTGCTCTCCAAAGGATCGGAAGCTGTCGCAGCTCCCCGAGTACAAGAGGCTGAAATTCCTGGGAATACTAATCTGATTTGGCTCCCCGGGAGCAGCCCCTGTCTCCAGCTGGCTGTGGGAGTCTGTGTGGGCTCCCAGCCCTCTGCTGCCAAGGTCACACATTAACTTGGAGCCCAGCCACCCCAGCCCGCTCGGAATTCAGCACAGGCTCCCTGTTCCCAGCACGGCCAGGGAGCCTCATCCCTGCCTCAACTTCGCTTTCACAGAGTCCCCAGGAAACACAACATCTCCAAAAAGCCCCTCAAAGCACCCGGCAGCGCCGGCAGCTCCCAGAGGCGCAGCTCCACGCTGGCCTCACCCACGGGATAACCTGTTTTTGCTTCAGCTCCCGTCAACACAGCTGCGCTGGAGGAGAGTGGAATAAAGATGCAGAGCAATAAAGATGCAGAGCAGTAAAGATGCATCTTTTGGGGCGAGATAAGCTGAGGTCTGGCAAGGAGAGCCGGAGCAGCAAGTCCTGCCCGACCTGGAGCCGGTCTCACCCAGGAGCCCACGGTGCCTTTTGGACCTGGGGTGGCACCAGGTGGAGCAGCCCTTGGTGCCACTGCTGGGCACAGCAGCGTCGTGGCCCTGGCTTTAAAAAAGGCTTTTGCTGTCCCCCAAATGATGGGGGAGGGTCTCAGCATCCTGCTCTGCCGCGCAGCACCGGAGGGGAGCGTTCTGTTGGCTCACCAGGGGATGTGCCAGTGCTGCAAATGGCTTTTCCTGCTGTGTTTTCCCTCCATCCCGCAGGCACGGCAGGGAGCAGTAACCCATTAACCCACCCTGGCTCACCCATTCGTACATCCGCAGCTACGGACCGAGACCCCCGCCCCTCCTCTCGCTGCAGCCACCGAGATAAAGATCCGCGACCCCTCCTCTCCCCGTGGCCACCGGGGTGAAAACCCCTCACCCCACCCCTCCCTGTGGCCACCAGATTTCAGCCCGGCAAGTCTGGAGGGGCCCAGCTCCATCCCCAATCCCGAAACATCCCATTCCCGGCCGATGCCAGGGGAGCAGGGATGGTGGAAGCAGCCCCCAGCCCCGGAGCACCTGCCCGCTGCGGGCTGGCAGAGCCTGGCACGACGGCACAGGCGGCACCTCCTGCTCTCAGGGGACATTTCCCCGACCACAAAGACCGCGGGGGCAGCGATATTATCCCCCCACCCCCCAAAAAAATCTCCAAACAGCCAAAATCCCCCTGCTCCGCCTCGCTCCCTTCCCCTCGCAGCAGCTCGCTGCCCCCTCCTCTCAATCTCCCTCTCCCCCACCTCCATCTCCCCACGGAGCTGGGAGAGCCGAGCCCGGAGTCCCTTCCAGCCGCACGTACCTGCCCTTTCCCGGCGCTCCGGGCCCCGCGTTCCGCCGCTCCGGGCTTGGCCGCCCGCTCCAGCCCCGCGCCGGCCGCCGCTGTCCCGCCCTGCTCCGGAGGACGCGAGGGAATGGAGCCTGGGCTGGGAAAACTTTGCAAAGCGAAAGGAAAACATCCAAGCTCAGTCAGGGAAACGTTGTTGGTTTTTTTTGTTGTTGGGGTTTTTTTCTTTTTTTTTTTCCTCTCTTTTTTCCCCCCTGCCTGCCCAGGCACTGGCTCCGCGGCAGCCGGGGTCCTAATTAGAGGCTTTTTAGCCTAAACCTCGGGAGCCAGCCAATGGCTGGAATTCCAGGGCAGGCAGGGAGGGGAAGGGGGGGGGACATTAACCCTACAGGGGAAAGAGCTGCCGATGACATCTGGCTCGCTCCTACCTCTCATTTTCCGAGCGCCCGCGCCCTTCCCTCCATCTGCGGCTCGGTTCACCCCAGGTTGCCGTTTGATGACTTTTATGATCCCGCGCGATGATTTATTTCCCTGCCGAGATCAGAAAGAGTTGAAGCTTCATGAAAGAGGGGGAAGTGTCATTACACCCCAATTTAGAGGTGGAGAAACTTAGGCTGGGCTCTCACAAAGGAGTTAGCCAGCGGCAAGTCAGGATGTCCTAGTTTCCACAAGCCCTGAACACCTGACGAGGCTCCTCCAAGCCATTCCAGACCGGCTCTGGCTGCAGCAATTCTACCCGGGCAGGAGTCAGGAGAAAATTTATCAGAGCCTGACGCGAGGCACAGCGTCTTGGTTGTGTTTCTGTGCATTTCTCACCACGCTGTAAAATTTTCCTGCCCGCTGATGTGACTTTGGGGATGAGAAGGGACACAGCATCCCCAAAAACCCCTAAATCTGCCAGGACCAGGCTGGATCTCTGCCACCTGCGTGGTCCCGGGAGCTGTGGCAGCTTTTGGGAGCCCCGAGGGGTGCAGATGGCTCGTGTAGGTTCTGGGATCAGGGTCGGGACTGCAGCCAAAACGCACAGGGATGGTGATTTGGCAGAGGAGGTGCCAGGCTCCGTGACAAGCCCGTGGCACCGCTGGGCGAGGCCGTGCAGGGCGGTGTTGGGGCACAGGTTATTGTGCTGCTTTATGGAACTGGTTGCCCCATCCCTGGAAATGTCCAAGGCCAGGTTGGACAGGGCTTGTGAAGCCTTAGGATTTTAGATTTTCTATTTTTCATACATTTGTAGTCCTGCAGTTCTTCAGTGTAGAACACTAAATTCCACGTGCAGTGTCAGCTGCTGCTTTCCCATTTTGGTCAGACACAACAATTCCTCTCCAGGCCTGGGGATCAAGGACACCTCCCTGCCTCAGGCCCTGAGAGATGGAAACAAAAGTGAGGTGGGGGGGAGCAAACTTGGGGTAAATGACTTCATTACCTGAAGCTGGAATTGGAAGATTAACCCTCAATATGCAAACGGACCAAACTTTAAAAAGTGTGGAAACCTGTGAGCTGTGGTCCATTTTTGAATGTCACCCCTGGGAGAGGCTTTGTCTGCCCAAAATGTACCTGGAGGCCTTTCAATAAATAGAACTGCCATTTATTCCCTTCATTTTGTCTGGCCTCTGTTTTTAGGTAGCCTGGGTGCTTGGAGCAACCTGGGGTAGTGGAAATTTTCCCTGTCCATGGCAGGAATGGGATTTTCAAAGTCACTTCCAAGCCAAACCATTTGAGGATCCTCTGCAAAATCCCCTGAGCAGGGGGAAAAGCAGGAGGAAGAGGAGGAGGGGTGGGCACCTCCACACTTTGCTGCTGTCCCTCCCTGCTCAGGGGTCCCAGCAGGGCTGTCCCGCCGGGGCTGTCACCACCCAGGGTCCCTTTGGTGTCACGGATGTCCCCACGCTGTTATTCCACTGCCGGGAGCTTGGTCCCTGCAGCTTTATCTCGGCCCGGTTGCTGCTTTGGACTTTGTCCCCGCGGGTGGTGACAGGACCCCCCCTCGTCCCCTGCTCCCCCCACGCTCCTCCATCCCTCCCCAGAAGGATTCCTGGGCAAAGTCCTGCTCGGGGACAGAGGGGTCACTCGCAGCTTTCCCGAGGTGACATCAGCCACTGCTCCATGGCAACAGCCCGGAGCAGCGCGGTGTCCCCGCGGTGTCCCCGCGGAGGGCAGGACACGGCTCGCTGGCTCCGTGCTGGGGTGAGGACCCGCAGCTCCCGTCCCTCCGAACGCAGGGCTGATGTCCGGCAGCTCCACCTCGGAGCCGTGGGTGAGGGTGGAACCGGAAAATTGTGGAATGGAAATTGTAAATTGTAAAATCTGCGGCTCGGGTAAACTCTCCCCGAGCTGTGCCCCATGCCGGGTCAAATGCGGCGTTCTGGGCTCAGTCGGGACCCGGCACAGCCTGAGCACGGGCAGCCAGGAGCCCTCCGAGATGTTCTGGGGGTGCAGCGGGACCCCGGCACTGCTTTAGTGCTCTGAGGCTGCTGGGACCGGGCCGTGCATGGGGACGCTGTGACTGCTTCAGCCCCCCGAACCCCCTCCTTCCCCAGAGCCCCCGATGCGCATCTTAAGTCTCCCTCTATTCCAGACCCCTCTCAAATTCTCCTTCACTCACCCCCGAGGACATCCTTCCAACCCGGACCCTGCAAAATCCCCCTCCACTGACCCTTCCTTGAGCGACCCTCCAGCCCAGATCCCTCAAATCCCCCTGCACCGACCCCCAGCCCCTCTCCTTCCCCAGACTCGTCCCCAGTTCCCCTCCACTGATCCCCCACGACCATTCCCCCAACCCCAAATCCCCTTCCACCGACCCCCAGCCCCTCTCCTTCCCCAGACCCGTCCCCAGTTCCCCTCCACTGATCTCCCTCGAGCATCCCCCGAACCCAGATCCCCAAACCCCCCGAAGTGCCCTCTCCTGCCTCAGACCCCCAAACGCTCTCAGTGACCCCCCCAAAACCCCTCCCGTCCATCCCCCTTAGCCCGACCACGCCCACCCAAGCTCCGCCCACCGTGAGGCCCCGCCCACCCTGCCCCGCCCCCCGGCGGTGCCGCGCCCCCCTGGCGCCCCCTGGCGGCCCCGCGGCGCTCGCGCGGTGTCGCTGCTCCGGCGGGCCCGGCCCGGCCCCGATCGCTCCGGGCCCGACCGGGGACCCCCGGACCCGCCGGGCCGGGCAGGGGCAGGGCCGGGCCGGGGGCCCCGACACGCTTCGGGCTCCGGGAAGGGCCGGGCCGGGGGCCCCGGGCCGCAGCTCCCGGACGGCGGAGCCGGGAGCGCCTCAGGTACCGAGCCGCGCCTGAAGCGGGGCCGCGGCATCGCCCCCTGTCCCCTCCCCTCGTGCCCTCCCCGGGCTCCCCCGGCCGCCCCTCGCAGCCAATTCCCCGGTACTCCCCGGGACTCGCCCCTTCCTCAGGCCCCTCGTTCCCACGGGCTCTGCAGGCCCGTCCTCATCCCTCCATCCTCTTCCTCATCCCTCCATCCCCTTCCTCCTCCTTCCATCCCCTTCCTCATCCCTTCATCCCCTTCCTCGTCCCTTCATCCCCTTCCATGTCGCTGCAGCCCCATCCTCCTCATCCTTGCAGCCCCATCCTTTCCCCATCCCTGCACCCCCTTCCCCATCCCTGCATCCCATTCTCCTTCCCTGCATCCCCTTCTTCACCCCTCCATCCCTTTCCTCCTCTGTCCATCCCCTTCTTCCTCCCTGCAGCCCCCTCCTGAATCCCCCATCCCTCTTCTCCTTCCTCCAGCCCCTTCTCCTTGTCCCTCCTGCCCCCGGAGCTGCCCCCCTGCTCCCTCCTTTTCCTGGGAGGATGTGTTGGGTCTGTCCCTGCGTGTCCTGGAGGGCTTGATGTGGGACCAGGTGCTTTTCCACACCAGGTGTCCGTGTGTCCCTGTGCAGGGGGTATCGGGGTGCCCTGATCCTTTGGGATTGGGGGGGATCCTCTTCTCCAGCTCTGAGTTTAAGAGAAGGGCTGGCAGGAGGGTGAAGGCACAAGGGGCTTCTGCAGGCTGGGAATTTGGGAGAGCCTGGTCCAAGCAGGGCTGAGGAGGGTTTAGTTTGGGATCCTGGGAGTCTGGATGGGGCTGGTGGCCTTAGGAGGGACCCAGTCCTGCTGTGGGGAGCCGCGCTGGGCTGTTGGGGTGGTTTTAGTGACTGGCTGAGCTCTGAACTGGCAAACAGGTGTGGGAAGGTGAGTTGGACGTGCAGAGCAGGAGCCTGGAGACTCGGGAATCTCAGCGTCTGTGTGAAAGGGATGCTGATGAAATATTCACCAGTGAGGAGCAGTGGGAAGCGCTGAGGGAGCGTTCAGGTGGTGGTTTTTTAGTTCATTTGCTCAATTCTCACTGTAAAAGCTGTCCTTGATAAGCCACAGCACTTCAGGCTGACCCCTCGTAGATGGGGATGGAGGGAGAGAGGGATATCGAGGAGGCAAAGGCAGAATGTTTTCTCCCAGCTGTTATTCCTGAGGGAATGGCTGCGGTGGGAGAGCACAGCCACAGAGGACACAGATCACATGGAGCAGGATCTGTGCTGAATTATTGACCAAAGCCTGGGAGGGGAATAAATCCATGCCGGCCTAGGGAAAGAAGCAGGCTGGCAGGGGCAGGGTGTGTGGGGTGGCACAGGGAAGGGCTGGTGGTGCTGCAGGGCTGGCAGGTGTGTGCAGGAGGGCAGCTGGCACCGGCTTTGTTTGTTCTCAGCTTGCACAGAAGGAAACTTTCCTCTCCCGGGCTCTTGGCAGGGTTGGGGCGTGGTGGGGAATTCTCCAAGGGCCAAAGTGACGGCATGGAGTGCGGTGGGAGGTGATTTATGGGAGGTTTTGATGTAAAAATGGAGTGGGACCCTTTGGCAGCTCAAGTGGGGCTCTTCCCCCTCCCTCCACACTGGAAGGGGGCCCAGGGCAGCTCTGCCACTCCACAATCCGTGGTTTAACTTGGAGGAGGGGGGAGGCGGATTCTGGCATGGCAAAGGGAGAGGCTCCCAATGGAAAAAGGGTCCCAATGGAAGGAGAATCCCAATGGAAAGAGATTCCCAATGGAAAAAGGTTTCCAGTCGAAGGAGGTTCCCAGTGGAAAGAGACCTCCAATGGAAAGAGATTCCCAATGAGAAGAGGCTCCCAATGGAAAAACGTTCCCAATGGGAAGAGATTCTCTGTGGAAAGAGGCTCCCAATGGAAAGTGGCTTCCAATGGAAAGAGGTTCCCAATGGAAAGAGGTTCCCAATGGAAAGAGGTTCCCAATGGAAAGAGGTTTCCAGTGGGAAGAGGTTCCCAAATTGCCATTTACTGCCCTGCTGCCAGGCTCTGGGTCCTGGTGGATCAGGTGGAGACACTGAGCTGCTCTCAGGGCACACCTGGCATCATCCCCTGTTACCTGCCCAAGTTCCCATCAGGGATGGCAGAATTTCACATTTCTCACTATTATTATTAATTTAAAAAACCCAGGAGTATTTCTCAATCCTACTGCGTGCAACTCCTGCCTGTCTGATCCTCGCACTGACTGGGTCAGATATCAGAGTTTTTGTGTTTTCTGGCCTTTTTTTTTTTTGCTTCTATTCCAAAGCAGAGCAGCTGCTGGTTCTGTGACCCCAAAGGACCTTCCCTGCACTGAAGGCACCTTCGCATTCCTCAGCAGCAGCTGCCTCACCACCCCTGGCTGCTCAGTTTTATTTTCTTCACCCTGGCAGGGCCCACTCCTCTGTAGGATCCCAAAGCCAGGAAATAAAATATCTCTTATTTATTTTTATTTTTTTTTATTTTCAGCTGTGTATTTTTTGTTGTTGTGCAGAGTTTTCTGCATTGATATAAATGTAATTAATTAAACACAAAATGCACCCGTTTATCCTTGGGATGTCTGAAGGGATGTTCAGTCACTCTCCCACCCCCTGCTTTCTAATTTTCTCTGCTTTTATAATTTTTTAATTGTGTTCTCCTTGCCAGGTGGAAGATGGGAGTGTTCCCCTCATGTTTTAGGTGAAGCCTGCTTGCCATGAAGTCCCAAGAGAGATAGAGGGACTGCAGTGGGAATCCCTTCTCACTCCTCCACAAATCCAACAACTGCCTAATGGTAAGAAACCTGTTGGTTTTAATTAGTGCTACACTTAGAGCTCTCGTTAATCAAGGAACAGAACAAAGAGTTGGAGCTCCAAACCCACTGGGATGGGGGAGGGCAGAGCTGGAGATGCTGGGAGAGTTGCCTGGAAATCTGATTGTGCCCCAATTTGTGTCCTGTCCCCAGGGATTGCCTCTCTGCCTGGCGTCATGGGGAGCTGCTGCAGCTGTCTGTGCACAGACAGCATCCCAGACAACCATCCCACCAAATTCAAGGTAAATTGTTGCCCTTCCAACCCCATCAGAGGGCCTGGGACAGCTCTGACTGCACAAGGCGAGAGCAAACTTCTGTCCCTGCACACAAACATCCCTCCATAGCATTTGCAAATTCATCACTTCTGGTTTGGTGGGGTTTTATTCCCCCTTTCCTTAAGAAACTCCTGCTGTGAATGTGTTTGTATTTGCTGCTAAATTGCCTCTGCTTGGGAAATGCAAGGAAATGGGGGACTGGAGAGAAAAACCTTTTATTGCTCAGGGCTGTGTTCCAGGGCCGGGGCTCAGCCACAGCAGCTGAGCTGCCAAGCTCATGGGCTCCAGGGCTGACAGCTCCTGCCAGCCATGAATCCCTGCTCTCAGCTGGGAAAAGGCAGCAGGAAATGGAGGGGAATCCATGGAATTGCCCAGCTTGGTGGCTGGGCTGGGCTGGGCGCTGCTCAGGGGCACCTGGAGGGCCCAGTCCAGCTCTGGGCAAGGGAGATATTTTGGGGCTGGAGCGTGTCCAGGGAAGGGAATGGAGCTGAGGAAGGGACTGGAGAGTCCTGAGGGAGCTGGGGAAGGAGCCTCAGGAGGGATCTTCTGATCCCACAACTCCCTGACAGGAGGGGACAACCAGGGGATGATTTGGGATCTTATCCCAGGGAACAGGGACAGGATGAGAGAGAACAGCTGCACCAGATGAGGTTTAGGCTGGAAATCAGGAGGAATTTCCTCATGGAAAACACATTCAGGCCTTGGAATTGCCCAGGGATTTCCCCACCCCTCAGTGTCCACCTGGCAGTGAAAGCAGAGATCTGAACTGGCTGCTCCTGGAGCTCGTTCCCAGCCCCAGCCGAGCCGTGGCTCTGATTTTCCCGCTGTGTCCCCTGCAGGTGACCAACGTGGACGATGAGGGGCACGAGCTGGGCTCGGGGGTGATGGAGCTGACGCAGAGGGAGCTCATCCTGCACACGCACAAGCGCGACGCCGTCAGGTGGCCCTACCTGTGCCTGCGCCGCTACGGCTTCGACTCCAACCTCTTCTCCTTCGAGAGCGGCCGCCGCTGCCACACCGGGCAGGGTCAGTGTCGGGGGATCCCTGGGGATCTCTGGGGATCCCTGGGGCAGGGTCAGTGTCGGGGGATCCCTGGGGCAGGGTCAGTGCCTGGGGGATCCCTGGGGATCTCTGGGGATCCCTGGGGCAGGGTCAGTGTCGGGGGATCCCTGGGGCAGGGTCAGTGTCGGGGGATCCCTGGGGATCCCTGGGGATCCCTGGGGCAGGGTCAGTGTCGGGGGATCCCTGGGGCAGGGTCAGTGTCGGGGGATCCCTGGGGCAGGGTCAGTGTCGGGGGATCCCTGGGGATCTCTGGGGATCCCTGGGGCAGGGTCAGTGTCGGGGGATCCCTGGGGCAGGGTCAGTGTCGGGGGATCCCTGGGGATCCCTGGGGATCCCTGGGGCAGGGTCAGTGTCGGGGGATCCCTGGGGCAGGGTCAGTGTCGGGGGATCCCTGGGGATCTCTGGGGATCTCTGGGGCAGGGTCAGTGCCTGGGGGCTCCCTGGGGATCTCTGGGGATCTCTGGGGCAGGGTCAGTGTCGGGGGATCCCTGGGGGCAGCAATTCTGAGCTTTCTCTCCCCGTGACACCTTGGGAGGCTCCCTAGAACAGAGGCTGGACAGAGTTAAAGGTATCAAGTCAGGGTTTATTAAAAGAATGAAAAATTAATGATAATATTAATAAAATAAAATAATACTTTAAAATTTAAAATTTAAAAATAAATAAAATAATATTATTATATTAAAATAAATAAAATAATACTAAATAGTATTAAAATTAAAAGCCCTTCCAAGGATACACCTTGGGCACTACAAGAGCCCGGCCATGGCTCCACACAAGATGGACCCTGGATAATGAGTTTTCACACTTTTATAAGTTTTGGTCCATTTAATTAATTTAATTATCCAATTACAGCTTCAGGTTATGAAGTCCCATCCTCCCAGGCTGCTCCATCCATTTGCAATTTGTACTTTTTGGGCCTGAAGCTGCAATGGTGCCCTTGGTTCTGGGGCTGGAAAAGGATTGTTTTGTTTGTTTGTTTGTGAAGAGAACTTGCTGACACTTTATGTGCAGTTCAGAGTTAAATCAGAGTGCAGAGTTTGGAAAATATGAAAGCTCAAATTTAAGGCATCACCCAAAGGCAGCTGATCCTCGTGTCTTCCCAAATTCCTGGTGCTGGGGGTCTTGCAGCCTCCTCCCCCTCTTTGTGCACACACGGGGGATGCTCTGTGTTAAAAGTGTTAAATTTGACATAAATCTGATGGCCTTGCCCTGCTGGTGCTCCTGGGGATACTGGTGAAGCATTTTTGGGGTTGTTACTCCGTGCTTTGGTGCCCCAGTTGGGGCAGGAGGGTTTGCTGGGCCTTCCTCAGGAGCTTAAAAGCATTTGCAGGACTTTGTTAAGCATCTTTCAACTCAGGATAAAGCAGCACCTGCACCTTTCCCCATAATTTAGGGTTATTTATTCCACAGAGCAGCTTTTGTTTGAATTTTGTTTTGAGTTTTGTTTTCCTCAGTGCTTTTCCCCCACGTTGGTTCTACCCAGAGCTCCAATTTTGGGTCTGGCAACACTTTGTGACAGAGGAAAAGGAATCCCATGTTTCCCTGATGTTGTGAGCATGGAGAGGGAAGTGACTCACCCAGGAGCTGATGCCAAGTCACCAGCAGCACTGGGAATAGTCTGGGAACAGAGGAATGAGTTTTACAATGGTGCCTCTTGGTTCCTCCACCAGTCTGTTGCTTTCAAAAAGAGCTGAACATTTCCTTGGCATCTGCATCTCCTGGGAGAAAAAAAAAAAAAAAAAGTTGTTTCCTCATTCTGTTAATGTGTTTGTAAACTCCAAAAGGACTCCCCTGAGTGCTCAGGGTCTGTGTGAATCTGCTCTGGCATCTGCTGCTCTTTAATATTTATTTTAATGGGGTTTTCCACTCCTATCAGGGAATTTGTCCTTGGGTTTCTGCTTTGCCTTTTGCAGGGTGAGGATCAGTGGTGACAATTTAATCCAGAGATAAAAATTCTGCCCTCTGCGTGGTTTGGTTCTGTTCAGGTCCAGGCAGAGGGGATGAAGCAGAGCTCTCACACCCTGCAGAATTTCTATCAGGCACTGTTTAAGCAGAAATGAGAGGGATGATGTGTTGTTTTCTTCCTTCCTTGCAGGATTTTATCCTGCTTATTAATTTCACCTGGAGCCCTCCTTCTGATGCTGCTCCCCACCTGATGCAAGGCAGATCCAGCTATATTTTTTTTTTGCCAGAAAGTGGAAAACGTGGATCTTTGGGAGCAGCCCTTGTTGCCAGGCTGTTCCTGTTGCCATGGTTTGGTGTGTGCGTGTGCCAGCCTGGGATTGGCTCCTGGGCTGGGCTGCTCCTTTGGGGAGAGACTCTTCAATCCCAGAGATTTTTAAAAACGTGACATTCCTGTCCCTCCCTCCCGTGCACAGGGCCCAGTCCAGCTTTAAGGAGTCACTGCCTGGATTTTCCCCTGGAAAAGGATGGAGTGGGTGCCAGGGGAGTTCAGATAGGAGAGGTGAGCAGTTCACCTGGCCCTCCACACCCGTGTGCTGTGAGATTCCAGCGCTGAGGGGGTTTAAAGCCAGGCTGTGTGGAGCTCTGGGCTTGTGGCAGGCTGGGAGTGGAACTGGCTGATCTTTGAGATCTCTTCCTACCCAAACTATTCTGTATTCCATGATTTCTGCTGTTATTTCCCAAATAATCCACAGGGTTGTTGCTTGTTCTCCTGTGGCTTGATGGTGTTAAACAACAGCAGAAGAGATCAGAATTCATTTAGAAGTGGGAATAACACATATTTTTAAAGCAGGATCATTTCCTCTCTGTTCTGACCCTCCTCTCTGTCCCTGGCAGGAATTTTTGCCTTCAAGTGCTCCCGAGCAGAGGAGATCTTCAACCTGCTGCAGGACCTGATGCAGTGCAACAGCATCAACGTGGTGGAGGAGCCGGTGGTGATCACCAGGAACAGCCAGCCCTCGGATCGGGAGCGGGCCCGCAGCCCCCAGCGCCCCACCAGTACGAGCCCATCAGTGTGTGGGGACAGGACAGGGGACACAGGGCTGGGGGTGACAGGGGGGTCCCATCAAACTGCCCCTGGATCCCATGGCTGCTCTTGTTTTAAGGCCCCAGCGTGGGATTGGGTTTCTGAGGAAAACATGAAAAGCCCTTCAGGCAGTCAGGGCTGTCACCCCTCAGCTGGATTTGTCCAGGCCACCACTGCCAAGTGGCCTCTCCTGGGCAGCACTTGTGAGGGTCAGGTGGTTTCTGCAGGAAGCCACATCTGGAATGGCTCAGTTCCTGTCTCCATGAGGAATTCCTTCGATTTAGAGGAGGGCCTGGCCCCTGTGTGTGTGCTCCAGCCCTGGGATGGCCCTGGACAGGCTGGTTTTACCTTCCAGGGTGTCCAGAAGAGCCCAGCTCACTCTGAAAGTGTAATAATTCTATTTTGTACCAATTTAATGCTTCTCTGCCTTGATTCCCTCACAGGTCTGGGCTACACTGGACTTCCCAATGGATTTCACAGCTTCCCTGGAGAATCCCTGTCCTTCTCTGCAGCCCGGCACCCCTCAGTGAGCAGCCTGAGGCATTCCTCTGTGGGGGAAGACTCTACCCACCCCCTCCTGGGGCCTGAGGAGCAGGTAAACCCATCCTAAACTCCCCTGGGTGCAATTCTGGGTTTCCCTCACTCAAAGCTCAGGGGATCCTCACACCTTGTCACTCTTTTTATTCTCTTTCATTTTGCTTCTGGAGGCTCCTGCTCTTTGACACTTCACTAGAACTGGTGTTCTGTCCAAAAAAATCTGAGTTCTATGCTCAACCCACTGGTGTTTGGGTGGCAATTATCTGTCAGCTGTCACACAACCCCTAAATTCAGATCCTTTTTATTTTTGAGGTTCAGCTCTTTGCTCGCAGTTGTAGAATTTTTAGATTTTTTCTACAAAACCCAGCTGGTCTGAGCCACCCCCAGGGCAGGCTGGGCAGGTGTGAGGGTTGTGGGATCAGCTGTGAGCCACTCGAGGAGACAGTTTGTGAGATGTGACACAGAACCCCAGAATCACTGGGGATGGGAAATACCTGGGAAAAGATTAAATCCAAGCTGTGCCCAATCCCCACCCTGAGCCCTGAGTGCCACCTCCAGGTGACACCTCCAGGGATGGGGACTCCAAACCTTCCTGGGCAGCCCCTTCCAAAGCCTGACCGCCCTTTCCATGAGGAAATTCCTGCTGCTGTCCATCCATGTGGACACACGGTGTGTATCTGCAGCTGGACTCTGCCTCTCTCCCAGCCCACAAAACCCAAACCAACTTTTACATTTTGCATCCCAAAACCTTCCCAACCTCCAAAATCCCTTTTTTCTCGTCAGCCACTGATAAATTCCTTTCTCCTGGTGGTTTCTCGGCTGCTTTGCTCTGGTCTCTGCTGTCTCCTCCTTTCACTGTCCCTCTGCTTCTCTCCTTGCAGTCCCACACCTACGTCAACACGGCCACCGGGGAGCCGGAGCCGAGGGGCCGGCACTGTATGCACTCCTTGCCTGAAGCCCACCCTCCTTTCCCCCCTAGGAACCACAGCTGCTCCCTGGAAGACCGCAACCCTCAGGTCTTCCTGCAGCCAGGAGAGGTGAAATTCGTGCTGGCTCCCAGCTCCGGCTACCGCCGGCTGTGCCGGCACCCCCGGGAATGCCGGGCGCACCTCAGTCCCCCCAACAACAACAACGAGTGTCAGGAGGGGTGTCCGTCCCCACAGTGCGTCTACGAGAACCTCAACGGGCTGGTGGCCCCCAGCACCTCGTCCCTGTGCCGGGCTGGCCGCTCCAAGGTGGCCCGGGAGGACGGGAGCCGCTCCCAGCGCCGCTCGGCCCTGCTGCACTACGAGAACCTGCCGGCGCTGCCGCCGGTGTGGGAGCTGCAGCCGGGCCGGCACAGGGACGAGGATGGCGGCACGGCACCCACACCGTCCCCCAATGGCTTCTCCGAGGCCGGCGAGGAGGAGCCGCTGCAGAATTCCATGGGCTCGGAGAGCGCGGCCCTGCAGCCGCGCCGCTCCTTCCTGCCCCGAGCCCGGCGCAGCCGCCTGCCCAACGTCTTCAGCTTCGACTTCCCCCGGCCCTGCCCGGAGCCTCCACGGCAGCTCAATTACATCCAGGTGGAGCTGGAGCCTGAGCCCTGCAAGGGTCACCAGGACCCCCGGGTGGCACCTCCCGCCAGCCCCGGTGCCCGCCGCACCGACTCGTACGCCGTGATCGACCTCAAAAAGACAGCGGCCATGTCCAGCCTGCAGCGGGCCCTGCCCAGGGACGATGGCACCTCGAGGAAAACGCGGCACAACAGCACTGACCTGCCCCTGTGAGGGGCCCGAGTGCCGGCCCTGGCTCCCCTGTCCCTCGCTGTGTCCTGCCCGCTGTGGCTCCTGCAGCTGCTGCTGTTGAGGCTCGTCTGTCTGTCTGTCCGTCCTCCCCTCTCTGTGTTGCTCGTTTTTCAAGCCTTGTGGGATGTTTGGTGACTCTGAGGGTTGAGTTCCAGGCGGGAGGTGCCAGCGCTGAGGTGGCACAGCCTGGGGTGGGGCAGGGCAGAGCCAGAGCTGGGCAGTGCCACGGGGGGAAAAAACCCAAACATTAAAGCTCCCAAAACTGAGCTGCTCCAGGAGCTCGGTGCAAATGGAGCCCGTTCCCCGTGGATTTCACATCTCCAGGAGAGCTCTGCAGTGAGGCCACTCCAGAGCTGGGATTTGCCTTGTGGTTCAGTGGTGCCTGGAGATGAGGGAGCCGTGGCCTTTCCCCCCTCAGCTCACTGTTTGTTCCTGAAGCTTTTTATCCTTCTGTCCCTGTCTCAGATTCAATTTCAATTGGGCAGCTGCAATTAAACAAAGAGGACACAGAGCCATGGGCACACACTGTGATCACAGAAACCTGATTGCCTAAATCCTTAAATTCCCTTCCCTGCTTTAGAAGAGGGAAAGGCCACAGCCCTGAGGGAGATTGGAAATTTGGCCTAGAGAACTTCACTTGTGCCATAACCTGCTTTGTTTTTTTTACAAGGGTTCTTTTTGGCAGCTGCTGAGAAATGCTGTGGGTTTATTTATTTGTTTACTTATTTATTTATGAACTGCTCCTTTGCATCCCCATTCGTTGCCAAGTTGGTGCCAGTCTGCAGTGTGCTCTCGCTGGGGCTCGCTCCTGTCTGAGGGGACAGGTCCCAAAATACCTTGGTGGCTTTGCTGAGCCACCAACTGGGGAAAAACACTGTGGAAAGGAGCAGCTGGGAATGAAGAATTTCTGAACTCGGGGCTGACTGTCACGGGGTGGGTGGGAAATGGAATGGGAGACGTGGGAGTGGGAGCGGAGCCGCCGGGCAGCCGAGCTTGGAGTGGCATCAAAGTCGTTGCCTACACCCACGTGCCTGGCTGGGGTCGGGAGCAGCCTGTGCTCGGTGTCAGGAGAGAATGTGCAGTTTGTTCCCTCAACTACAGACCTGGAAGGGCTCAAATTCCAGGTAACTTTGTGGCCTTTTGCTGTGGATTTTTGTCTCGATGCCGGGGTAGTGCTGAGCTGCCCCGGGATGTCCCCTTGCCCCTCCCCGTGGGATTTCCCTGGATTTCTCTGTGCCTGTTCCGATGGAGAGCAGTGCTCTGGGATGCTCTGGGATGCTCTGGGACACTCTGGAGCTGGATCCCTCCTGGCTGTGTCTGTGTTCCTCCTGGGACAGGAGCTGGATCCAGTGCCCAGCCAGAGACGCTGCCAAGCCTCGTGTCCCCCTTGTCCTTGGATGTTTCCTGCTGTTGACGTCTGTGGAAGAGGAAAGAGCCCCATCCCCCAGCTCCAAGGGCCTGGAGCTCAAGTTCCAGGTTTTGGAAGTTCAGCCTTTTTTTGGTTTTTGGTGCTGTCATGTCCTGTTGAGCCGTGACCCTGTTGGGAGCAAGGCCACGTGTCCCAAGTCCGAGTGGTGCCATGTTTGTGTCGCAGAACGTGGAGTTCTTGGCTTGCTGTTGCACTATAAATTCCAAGTGTGCCACACGCTTCAATCCACTGGTTTTTCTTTTCCTTTTGGAAGTCCTTGTGCTCATCTTCCATTCTTTCGTCCGCCCCGTCCCTTGTGTCACCTGTAACTGAAAGGAAACCCAAGTAATATATTTTTATATGTATAACAAATGACTTTATTTGAAGGAAAAAAACAACTCCCACCCCAAGTAATGTATCCCCCTAAATCCAGCTTTCATTTAGGGAAGTGAGAGAAGAAATTGTTTATATCTATCTATACATATATATATATATATATATATAAAAAAAAAAGTTAACTGCGTTAAGCTTTAAATAAAATATTTAAATAAAGAGTTTCTAAGCTGTCAGTGTCACCCTCACCACAACTCCCTCTGGAGCCTCTGTAGGAACGTGCTGGAGCTGAGAAATACAAAATCCCTTTTTTACCTTTTTTCCCAGAAAGGGAAAAGAGAGGAAATGTTTTCCATTTCCACGGAGGAGGAGGTAAGGGCCCTTTCCAGGCGGGTTAAATTCCAGGGAAGGTGCTGGGGAGGGCTCTTTGTGCCTTGGGTGGCAGCAGCTCAGGGCTGGGGCTGTCCTTGGGTGCAGCATGGCCACATGTCCCTGAGGATGGGGTGGAAAGCTCTGTGAGCTCCTGGGATCAGGGAATTCCCCCTGGAGTTCCTTAAAAAGTCTGGCAATCCCATTTCTATGCCTCCACAAGAGCTTTGTGTTGGGAAACCTGACTCAGATCACTCAAACTGATGCTTTTCACCTCCTCCAGGTGTCTGGGCTGTCCCACCCTTCCCTCCTTGGCAAATCCAGGGCTCCCACAGGACACTGGAAGTGCGGTGACAGTTCTGTGCTCACCCAGCAGATCCACGATCGCCGCTCTCCGGCATGTCCTTAGCCCGGTGTTCCTGGAGGATTCTGCTCCTCTTCTGGGAAGAAGGAGAATTCCAGGGGCCTTGAAGACAAGAAAGGATCGAGCTGATGGCAGCTGCACATTCCAGCATGGAGCATCCTGTGCTCCCTGCCCCCTCGTGTCCCCTGGTGTCCCCTCGTGTCCCCTCTCACCGGTGGCCGTGGTGGCCCTGCTGGCTCAGCAGGCTGAGCTCCAGCGCGATCCCAAACTCCCCGGGAAGCTTTGGGAATGAAAAGCTGCTCTCAGCCCATTGTTTGTTGTGGGTTGTTCCATGTTTGAGCCATTAAATGGGAATTATCGTGCCGGCAGCCAGGATGGAACTCACGGGTTTCAGGGTGCACGTCCTGTTCGCATCCCAGTGATTTTCACTCTTTTTTGGAAAACTTGCAGGACCCTTTGAGAAATCCGTAATATTTGTTTTTCCAGGTGCAGTGGGAGCGCAGGGAAGGGCTGGAGCTGTGTTTGGGGCTGACCTCACCGTCCCGGAGCTCCGGGATTTTCTTCTGGGATTCTTTTGGAATTTCTTTTGGGATTCTCCCGGCGCAGTGGCGCAGCTTCCTCTAGTGGCCGTGGGAGAAAAGTTCCAGAGGAGGATCCGGGTTTGGATTGGGAAGTGAGGAGGGAATTCCAGTCCGTGCTCTCAATCCTTTCAATTCCGTGATTTGGGGTCTTTTTGGGGTTTTTCCCTGTGGCTTTTTTATTTGACTTGGGAATGTTGTTGATCTGTTGTATCCTTATGGAACCTCGTAAAGGTGGATTTTAGGGATTTTCCTTTGGGTCTGACGCTTTCTGCTGGGCTTTCCCCGTGGATGCACAACAGCAGGTGCTGCTGGCTTGGATGGGAAACCAGGATTGGGATACCTGGTGACCCGTCCCACTTCACAGCAGGATCCTCACCCTTGGTGGATGCATCCATAAATCTGGCTTTGGTTTTCAGGGATCCATCCCGGGCTCTGGTACAGCTGGGTAGGAAAAACCATCCCAAACCTGCTCTGGAGTTTGTCCCTGAAGCTGAGGGGATGCTCCGACCTCTCCTCCTCTCTGTCCCAAGCTCAGATGGTTCAGCTTGGTGTTTTGGGAACTGGAAAATCGAGGAAGGAGCTGCTTCAGTGAAATGTTTGCTGAGAAACAGGGTTTAGAAAGGGTTTAGGCAGCAAAGTGAGGTGGATTTGGGTGGTGGCTGAGCCCTGGGGGTGGGAGCTGGGCTGGAGGTTCCTTGGCTGGGGACTGGCTCTGTGTGGCCCCACTGGGGCCTGACCTGTCCTTGCTGGGCTCCTTCCTCCACCTGGAATTGTAATTTTGGGATGTTTTGTGAACAGCCATGGGCTGAGCAGAGGGAATATCACTGCCTTGACCTTTTTAAGTGGTTCTTGTTTGAGTCTGAGTTAATCCATTCGATTTCTTCCCCTGGTATTTCCTCCCTGGTGAATGCACAAACAAATCTTCTCCCCTTCCCCTTCCCAAGAACCCGTTGATAGGAACAGAGCTTCTCCCAGAGCTCCACTGTCTTCTGTGGGAGGGTTTTTTCCTCTTTTAACCCATTTCAGGTGCCTGTTTCCCCTCAGGGAAGGAAGTTGGAACCCCTGTGAGCTGTGCCTGCCTTACAGGGAGGGTGGTGAAGCTTAAAGGATCAATAATTCTGCAGAGACACTCAAATGTGTTTGTTATTTCTGAGGAATTCTTATTTTTATTACCTCAGCCATGCTGTTTACTGGGAGAAAAACCAAACCAGGGGTGGCATTTCCAGCTCCCCATTCTCTCACTGTCTCTCTGTGTGATGCTGTTCAGCCCTCTCAGGTGGAGGCTCATTAACAAATGGTCATTAATGAACACATTTCCTAATTCCAGCCTCTGGGAGGGCTGCCCTCAGGCTTTCTGGGAATTTTGTCTTTTCCCCAAACTCGGCTGGCCTGGAAATGCTGCTCACAGGCAGCAGAACAGGTTTGGGTTCCTGCTGCTGGAGATGAATTCATTAGTGAGAACCCTGGCAGCTTTGAAGTTGGCAATTACAGGCCAGGGGATGGAAAAGGCTCATTGTAAAGATGGGATCTAATTTGTTTTCCTTCCCTGAGTGAATAGGATCCTTCCAGAAGCTTCAGTGTCACCTCAGGCTCCTCCTGTGCGACTCCTGTCATTGTCACCTGTGGGGGTGACACTGAACATTTCTGGTGTGGCAGAGAAGCAAAGGTGCTCTGAGCCAGGGGCTGCTGTGTGATTGTTCCTTGGGGTTATTCCCACGGAAATCCGGGCAGTGCCTCTCTGAAAACAGCTCTGTGACCTGAGGATGGCTCCTGGCTTGCCTTGAAGTGTGGAACTGTACAGAATAAATGGAATGGGATGGTTGTCCTGGCTGGTGACCCATGGGGAGACCTTGACAAGACAATTCCTGGTGCTGCTTTCCCTCTGTCAGTTTGAAGCCATTTCCTTTGTCCTGTCTCTCCATCCCCTTGTCCAAAATCCCTCTCCAGCTGCCTTAGGGCCCCTTTAGGTTTGGATCATCAAGAAGTGGCTGATCCTCACCTGGTTTGGGAATTTAAATGCCTGACCTGGAGCCCAACCATGTATTTACAGTTTATTTAGCCATCTTTTGCTCACAGGAAAAAGAGGAATCTTTATTTTGATGTGATGGAGCTGTTCCTGTGTACTGTGACCTCTGTTTTGGAAATAAAACACTAAAAGCAGCTCGTGAAGGATCCGACTGCTTGTGTGGGTTCATAAACACAGCTGCTCCGGGGGCATGGAATCCCAGACTGGTTTGGGTTGGAAGGAACTTAAAAATCATCTCACTCCACCCTTGCCATGGGCAGGGACATCTCCTGCTATCCCAGATTGCTCCAAGCCCTGTCCAACCTGACCTGGGACACTTCCAGGGGTAGGGCAGCCACAGCTTCTCTGGGAATTCCATCCCAGCCCCTCCCCACCCTCACAGGGAAGAATTCCTTCCTAATATCAAACCTAAATTTCCTCTCTTTCAGCCTGAACCCATTCCCCTTGTCCCTCACTGCGGTTCCTGATGAACAGCTCCTCTCCAGCTCCTTGTAGCCCCTCCAGGTCCTGGAAGAGGCCATGAGGTCTCCACAGAACCTTCCCTGCTCCAGGTTCCACAGGCTCCTCTTGAGTGCTGGGCACTCAGAATCCTGGGAAAGGCGGTGGAGAGATGGAATTCCCTGAGCTGGAGCTGGGCCACCAAACCAACACTGAAGAGAAACTGAAAGAGAAGTAGAGGGAATGCCCAGAGCCTGGTTCCGAGGGAAATCCTGGGTGCACCATCCTCGCTCTGCGCAGGATCAGCTGCTGGAAACTCCAAATCCGTAATTCCTGCTGGAGCAATTCCCTCAGTGCTGCCCCACTTTGGGTCAGGAAGTGCCAAGAAGTGGGATGAGTGCTGCAGAGGGCACCCTGTGCCCCGCGGTGTTGTAGTATGTTTATTCAGTTCTGTTAAAATTGTTATTATTTCATCTGTTTGATATGTTCCTGGTTCTCCCCCATTTACTGCTTTGGTTGGTTCCATTTGTCTGTTATGTAAAACCCTCTCAGTTTTCCTGAATGTTCCCCGTCAATCACCTTTACCCTGCCCCATCTCCCCATCCATCACTGTAATCCCCACCTCTCCTTCCATGTACATCATCCCTTCCTCAACACGTTATTGGTTGTTATGTTGTATTCCCACCTTCTTTGTATCCCCATTGGTCCCTGACATTGTAACCTCCTCCCCTTACCCCTCCCTCCATGAGCTCCCCTTGGACCCTGGACTGTGCCCGCCCCTGAGATAAAACCCAGTGCACAGAGGTGCTCGGGGCTCTCTTCAGTCCTGATTTCTCCCAGCCCGGATCCTTGTGCTCATCCCCTCTCCTGAATAAACCTGTTCCTGGGAAGTACAGCCGAGTGAGTCTCCTCCATCCTTTTGCCATCACCCACGATGCCTGATTTGGCAGAGCCCGGCAGGATTCGGTGCTCTGAAGGTTCTGCAGTGGGATCGCCTTTCCCCTGCTGTTCCCCACTCCTGGCGACTGCCCGTGCCGGAGTGGCACCGTAGAGCTAGCCCGGAGCTCCAGTGTGGCCAAGAGCAGCGTCACCGCGGGGCCGTGCTGGGAGCGGGCGCTCTGCCGACGTTCCAAAAACCGCGCTCTGCTTCCCGCCAGAGCATCGCCCTGAAAATCAAACTTCCTGATTGTCTGGAACATTGTTCGTTTTCGATGTTACTTTCCTTTTTTGGTTGTTGAAGATATTGTTTGTTTCCTCTGTTCATTTTTCTTTTCTTTTTTCTTTTTTAAAGACAAAAAGGGTGAGATGCAACTCTGAAAATCAAGATTTCTGACACTGTTTAAATACAT